GAGAGAGAGAGAGATATTAGAGATATATATTACACATGCCGTAATTACGAAATTATGCTTGAATATTTTTTTTTCTTCTATCTGCGCTGACAGGAGAGAGAACCTCTTTTGCTCGATTAACCCTAAACTTCGTGCTTAAAGGCTTGTGTGCTTGTGTTCGTTTATCTCGAGATTTGTTTGTGTTTGATTTATATCGGCTTTCTTTGTACAAAACTTACAGCATTGATGTATTATCAATTTCAAGCTTATTTGGTTTTCCAAAGCTGAAATCACGGATTATCGTTTATTTTCCATTTTTAAGCTGATTCACATTACCAATGATGAACGTCATTGGTCATTTGTCATAAATATTAATGGGATTGGTAAAAAAAGTTTTTTTTTATTAATTGCCATTCACGATACTCTGTGAATTCAAAAGTTTTAAGTAGAAAATCGTTCTACAATTCTGTTGCGTCAGACCTCTTTCGATTCCATTTCATCGTGCCTCTTTTGCTTAAAATCTGTAATTTTCCTCGAGTTTCGCAATGACGTAAATTTAATAGCGACGAAAAGATTTATATACTTTTAAATAATGAATGTAATTTCTGACATTCATTTCTCTTTTACGCCACTCTAAAGTTAAAGTAGTACAGTCGCGCAGTTTTAAGTTTTCGTAAGTCATATTACATAATGTGAAATGTAAAAGAAGTTGCAAATAATCGATTCGGTATTCGGCGTGTAAATTCTCTTGAAAATGCCTAGAGAGAAGGGGGAGGAGGAAGAGGGAGAAAGGGAAGGATAGAAAATAGAAAATAGCGTTTGGATTTACGTAAAATCTATTTTTTATTTTTAACGTAATTGATAATTTAATGTAAATGTATATGTCTGTAAGTGTTTGATGATGCTATTCTGTGAAAATAGAAAACATTCTGTATAATCGTTTGACTCCAGAAATAACAAAAGATCAGTAGACTCCAGTAATAACAAAAATGAATAATAGGTAGTAATCATGATTTGATTATAAATTATCATTTATTATTTTTCTAAAAAAAATACAAGATAATTCCATCGGTATCTAAATCAAAAATAAATTACATAATCGTCTATAAATACTTGAATAGACATGAAGATGATTTGATTTGATATCTATTTTGATTGGAATTGGCGAAAATTTATGACATTGATCGATATTCTTAATTTCTTAAACATAAGAAGTATGACAATATAAAACATGAAATCTTTGCTTTACGGGCAAATATATAAATAAAGATAATAAAAAAATTAAGATTTATATCATTTTAATTACTAGAAAACTGCATTAAGAAAATTGCATACCAATTATAAAAGATTTTGCGATTCCGACAGATGCCGGAACATTTTTGCAAAGTTTATATTCGAATGAGCGAAATATTGCGTGCACAGCTCATCGTTCAATACGAAAAAGATAAGCTGTGGGAGTCGTGGTTCAATTATACGAAGCAAATAACTGAAATTAAATTCGCCGGGTAAACGATCGGCAATCGGATAATTTGTCTGGCAACGACTTACGTATCTCTTGAAGCAACTCGATCGGGATCAATCTTTTTCACTCCTATTTCCCAAACAAGTCACGTAACTCGAAGCTTGCTTCTATTTTCTCGGGGGCAAAAGTGGAAACTGATTGCGATGCGTGAAGGCAAAAACGAGGAAACTAAACACCGTCAAGCGCGATTGATTTCTTTCGACTTCGCCGAATAGGATCGGAGGAGGAAGGTACGAGACTTGGTGATGCGGGAATTAATTCGCGCGATTGCGTCCGATCGATAGTCGTGTCGCGTCCCGGCAGGCGCGACTCTTATCCGATAAAAGTGCATCGCGATGTTTGCCCCTTTGTCAATTGTGTGTGTTTCGGTAATTTGAAAAAATTTCACGTGGCTTTTTTTACAAGATAAAATAACGGTCCAAAATGATCTAATTAAAGGACCGTCCAAGCTGCCGGTCTTCGAAAAGAAGAGCGTAGCTGTTTCATAATTAATCAAATTGGAACGCGGCCAAAAGATATCGCAATCGACGAGGCTTGACGACCTCGTTAGTTATCGTCGCGATCAGTTCTGAACAAAGGATTTTTTAATATCCCGTCAATTATTACGATTCCAGTGCAGTTAGCTGTTGCACAAATGAAAGAGGTTCGTACTATTGTTTAATTGTGAGCGAGGAACAACGTAATTGCCGTTTGGCATTCAATCCTGCCAGAGAAGATCTCCGGTTTGAATATATCTGATAGGAAATTCGGACTTTCTTATGCACAATTTGCATTACAAACTAATTAAAAGTTTCGTTATTGTAATAACGCATAATTCTAAATTATTGGAAATATTTCACTGGCGTAAAAGCAGAAATGGATTATAAAAGTATATCGTTGAATCTATATAGAAATTTGTTGATTTTTCAGAATAACATATCTCTACAACTAATTGTACAGATTGATCTTTCTAATTTTCTAGTAAAGTTTAATCGAAATCTATTATTAAACCTGCTACTATAAAAAGACATGAGCAGTAAAGACTTCGGGCTTTCTGAATTGTGCATTAGATGTCGAAGAGCTCGACATTCGATAGGACAGAAGCCAAAAAGAGGCGACCCCTCTCTCTAAAGTAGATCCACTTGGTGAATCGTGTCGTCCTCAAATAGAGATACATCACGCTTAGGATTTTTACGCAATATTACGTATATCGACGACCACGTGTTATTTGCATGCCTGCGATACGTATCTTTTTTGAATTTACCGAGGCTTTCGGACACTGAAAGTTCCGAACAGGTGCATGCAATAGGGAATGTTTTATACCTATTATAATACTTGCTAGTTTCGCATGTATCGCATGTAATAGTGACCATTACTTGCTTTCACATATTACATATGCTTATTGCTCTGTAAACTTTTCGGCACTCCTAAAGTATCGAAAACTATAAAAATAGCCTCTCGTTGGGAGGATACCGATAGATTTCATGAAAGATGATGATGTGCTTTTATATATTGAGAATAATTTATTTTAAATAATTAAGTTGTTTTTGTTTCCTAATTAACATTGTTTTGTTACTCTTTTTATATTGATATAACTTGTTCACGCGTATCCTCTCAAATCTGACGTCAATTTAAAGATTATATATTTGTACTTTTTGTATTTAAGTTCTTTGATTGGATGCACTCCACGCAAGAAATGTATTGCTATAAGACGCAAAGCATTTCTCAGTGGTATTTGTAAAATATTGTTTGTTGCAATTGTTTTTTATTAGATGTATTTTAATTGGTGAATAGATTAATAATGGAAATACGTCAGAATTCTGGAAATAAAATTATATGAGTTCCACAAAAATAACGAATCTCTGAAACGGCTCGTAATTAATTACAATGCGATAATTATATATTTTATAATTATGCTAAGTCACTGATTATTAACTAAATGTTGAATAAAATATATCTTTTACCTATTATTAAATTAAATCTTTAGCGTATTTGGATTCAAGATCAAGAATTTGGACGTACGTTCCGTATTATTTATGGTTTATGAAAGCATGTGACGCCCATTATCAGTAAAAGAAATACTATCCGCGCTCCGTAGCATCCATTATCCTGGCAAATGAGTGAAGACGGTCAGAAGATCATCGGCCACATGGTTTTACGAAAATCGGCCGGCTCCGGGAGCTGTAGTAGTATACTCGGACTAAAAGTTGTCGGTGGCAAGCTATTGGAAGATGGTTCCATGGGTGCTCTGATCGAGAAGGTGAAAAAGGGTAGCACGGCGGACATAGAAGGCCAACTTAGACCTGGTAAGAAGATTACAAAGTTCGGATCAAGCAATTTGAAAAATTTTTAAACCATCCAAATCGTGGATATTTTCTATATAGTTTATTATGATACGTTTATCACGATCGGAAGACAGAAAAAAATCTAAATTTTATGTGACAATAAATATTACAAGACAAACATTACAAAATATTTTTTTATACTTAATTTTATACTTAATTTTTTATACCTAATTTTTATACTTAATTATTTTATACTTAATTTTTTATACTTTTTATGCTTAAAGAGTAATTATAATGGAAATTTGATCATCAATTGATTTTGAACTGATCATGTACTTGTGTACTCGTGTTATTTATCGTGATTATATCAATTAATAAAATTGTGAGAAAATTTGTGAGAACATTTTATTTTATTTGTTGAGAATAAAAAAAGATGAATTACATGTATACTTTTGTTATATGTATATTTGATTATAAGCATTTCTCTTGTAGCATCATGTATACTAATAAAAGTCTTGCGTTTGGATCGCGTATATTCGAATCGTGATAATTCGTTTCAACTTTGACACCTTGAAAGTGCACGGCTTGTCGACGCGCTTGCAACAATCGCGCGCAAACCGTTTCTATTCCCACGACCGTCCATAAGAACGAATCGGACGACGCTCGACGATTCCCTGCGGTTGTTTCAGGTGACGAGGTGATCGCGTGGAATGGGAGGTCCCTCCAAGGCAAAAGCTTCCGGGAGGTTTACGACATCATTACCGAGTCGAGGTTGGAGCCGCAGATTGAGCTTGTAGTTGAGAGAAAGTTGTCGACGACAACGGGCATGGCGCCTGCAGGACCGGGCCCATCGACGCCCATGACATCCAGAAAGATGGTTGCACAGAGCCAGTGGAGACAGAAACACGAGACCATTTCCGGTCTTCAGCCGCCGCATCACAAAGGTGACTATATACGCAGCACGTTCCGTTTCCGGCCGTCTTCCGACTTGATTTCGCTTCAGTATCACAAATGTGATCTAGATTATTTTATCACCGACTCTTTTATTCAAACGGAATATAGATATCTTTTTTTGTACAACTCTAAATATATTTATCATCGATTTAATCATACGGTAGTCGTGCATGGGCTTATGGTGCCGAGCGTTATTTTAATTACATATCATAGGCATACCAGGAGGAATAAAAGTATTTACGTACATATGTAAGAATGGCGATTATATATTTAAGAGGATGAGGTAGATTGTTTTTTTTTTCTTTTCACGTAGATGGGCTTCTGTTTTTCACAGGATGTCACAATTTGGATAGCGAACAGAATTAGAAAGAAGTGTGTTAGGAAGATAGCGTTGTTTTAAACTGAACTGCGATTATTAGAAGAATTTATAGAGAATCAAAAGTGTTTCATCTGAGCATTTGGATCTTTCTTTTTCCTATGTAAAAAAAATTAATATAATATTTTGTCTATTTACACAACTTTAGACAAAAGCTATACATATAGAAAGATGAACAATAAGACAGCACGACTTGCAAGCACAATATCGACGAAAAGTAGCACGTGTAATATTTATGATAATTCAATAATTCTAAAAGACGAAAGAGCACTGAGAATTAATTATTCCAACTTAATGAAATATTTATTTATATTAATTAAATCCCATTAAATGTAAAGCGATGTTCGCGCTTCTCATTAATAGTATCGCGTTACTCGCATAAGTTTACGTATTAAGCATATCAGAAGCAACGCTACCACAAATTATTATAATTTTTTCGCATTCCAGGTCTTAAGAAATGTTTACTATGGGGTAGGCCTCAGAGAACTTTTTTCAATCCATTTTCGATCGATCAGTGTTTCTTGTCTGTATCATAGCCCTTTATCTCCGTTATTGATGACCGTTTCGTGAGATTTTCTTTGAAATTTCAACAAACGGAACAGGAGTCACGATTTCGATGCTACGGCAAGCCGAAGCAACGAAAATTGATTTACCATTTATTCTGCCTTGAGTATTACCGTCGATGTTTAATGTAGATGTAGACCGTAGTGCTAATGCACCCCCTTGCCCTTTCCCCGCTAAAAGAGCACCGTTATATAGGTATAGTCTTATGGGAGCAACAACTATATTATATGTATATACAAGATATAAAGATGCCGATGTATAAATCCCTCATATCGTGCTTTCTCTCTATACGTATAACAAATCACGAGTATCTCGTGTAATTCTTATGGATAAGTGTAATTTGCTGTGTATTCGCTACCGTTCTATTATCTCTGCTCCAATCGATCTAACATTATTATCATAATAATTCCCCTCATCCCTTTCGTGGCTCGTTGTCACGGATTTCCGTAATTGTGAAAACCCGTGCATGCGGACGCCACTTCTTCAAAAAGACGTGGGTGCTTCCAGAACTGTTCAGAAATAGTTTATCGATTTTGCAACATCCCCCGGGGGTTCGATGACGCCGTGAGATAGAACTTTTGGTTTTCGCATCTATAATTTCGTATACTCCGAGAGTGCTCAATCGACGCAGAGATCTCTCGTCGAATAGACATCTAACAGATTCACAGATTTCCCGATCCTTCAAACACTATTTTGGACATTTCGAAGATATACTTTTAATCTTTCCACCATTTCTGCATTTTTTTCTGATACCACATATATCGTATATATATCGTATATATATATCGTATATATAAACGTATCCGATTAACATATTCATTGCCAAGTGAATGCGAGCGGCGCGTTCATCGGCTGACAAATGGCAATGAATGTGTTAGTGCAATGAAAGCATGAAAAATTTTTTTATGTATCGAATCATCCCAATTTCTTCTTCTTCTTCTTCTCCTCCTCCTCCATTTGTCGTCTCTTTCACTTCTGTTCGTTATTTTCCTACGTGACGAATCTCGCGCACCCTCTCTCCTCGTGAATCGCTGCAAGATCGCAGATACGGAAACGAGTTATATCCTAGTCGAAGCTGCACGATCACTTGCAGAGTTGTACGACGCGAGGCGTGAGAAACCCTCGGTTTTAGTGACGTCGCCGGGCTCGCCGGACCTGCACGCCCAAGGACGCGGTCGACACTCCCGACATCCGACCGGAAATGCAAATGTGGGCGGTAGTATCCAGGTGAAGCTGGGCTTCGATCCCGTGGGACTTCAGCTGATCGTCACGATAATATGCGCCGCCGGGCTCACGCCAAAGAGTAACGGCCAACCTAGAAATCCTTACGCCAAAGTTTTCCTACTTCCCGACAAAAGGTGAGAAATGGAAGTAAATCAGCGTACTTAATAATATTCAATGGTAATATTTTTAATTAATAAAAAAGTTCACAAACGAATATACATAAATTTATATAAATGATCTAATATTTATTTTAACAAAATCACTATAGGAAGAAATACTGTCATAAATAATGTCATAAAAAAAATGTACCTAAACGCACTAAAGGTGCACATATTGTTTGATGTTATTTTATTTTGTGATTCTTTAAGTGATTCTTTAAGTGACAGCTCGTTTTATTCCAACTTAATTACTAATTAATCTTTTCAAAACTTTTAAAATTAATATATCTTTTTTTTAATTTTATTCTAGTGAGAAGTCGAAACGGCGTACGAAGACTGTGGCAAACACGAATGATCCCAAATGGAATCAGACTTTTGTTTATAATGGAGTTAGACGTTCGGAGCTCAGGAAAAGAGCACTAGAGATTACGGTCTGGGACTACTCTAGATACGAAGCGAACGATTTCCTTGGCGAGGCTGTCCTGGAATTGGCAGTATGTCTCTTGGACGAGGAACCAGAATGGCATTCTCTGACCGCTCACGGAGAACACCGGCACGTCAGGTATGAATTGCACTCACGGATGCTAGTAGTTCCAATACCAATGCTAAAAGCGATCAAATAAATACCACGCATCGATACGAGTCTTGTGAAATGTTTGACAATGTTATATTTTGTTTTGCGTAAAATGTGACATAACGTTATACGATGGCTTGTCTCGTGATTCTTAGAAATCTATATTGAGAGAGAGAGAGAGAGAGAGAGAGAGAGAGAGAGAGAGAGAGAGAGAGAGAGAGAGAGAGAGAGAGAAGAGAGAGAGAGAGAGAG